TTTTTGTTATAAAAGTAGCACATAGTCATAAGTAATTTGGTAGACAGAAAGGTAGAAGGAAGCATGAGTCATTGTCTCACCACCTGAGAAGTTGAAAACAGCTGGTTTAAGAGGAAGTGGGGACTGTAGGTCCCAGGTGGTCCAAGCCCAACTGCTTCAAGTTGTCAGGGTTAGCCTGTTACATAATTAACTGCCCCAATGCTGCCTTTGCTGATCTTTCTGACTTGCAAAAGATCCCTGTACCTACCCCCTGGGATTAACAGTCTCTTTCAGCTGATGTTCCAAGGTGTCTCCACCTGAAACCAAAGCCAGTTAACAGTTAACTAAGAGCCAGGTACCATAATTCACACCAAGTGATAAGGAATCTAGTCATTTTACAGGGTGAGGCTCTAGGGCACATCTGCCAGGCAGCTGATGCTAGAGCAAAGGCCGTGTTCACAAAAAGAGCATACCTAGCAGCTTTTGCAATCCCTAGACCCTTGGAGGTAGGTGGTGCAGGAGTACCAAGGCACCCAGTATTAGGGGAGAACTTCAGTGGACACACAAGCTCAGGGCAAGGCTGACCCCTTTCCTCCGGTTATGCTTCTGCCCCACTCTCCAGAACAGCTTGACATTTGATTGGCTCTGCATTGTTCAGTGCCTGCTGCTGTTCATTGACAACATATCTACTGAGTCCCTAATGGATGTCAGGTTACATGTTAGGCTCTGCTCCACAACTTGAATGGAAAATGCATGCCCTTTTGCAGCCCTGGGGATGGAGCCTGGTCCGGTGGGGGTGACTGTGGGTGCTCTTTTTTTTCATGTAGATTTAAGTTGGTTGGAACATTTCCTATATTCCCAGCTTGGCCTCAAAGGGAAAGTAGGACAAGAATAAAACAGTTAACTAAGTGCCAGGTACTTTAACAGACATTCGTTTTTTCCACTGAATCCTCTAGCAAAGATTCAAGTAGGATTATCCCCACTTTGCAGATCCCTATCCTGAGGTGAAATAACTCAGGAGGCATCTACTAGTTCACATCTAGGTTCAGTTAAACTTTTTTTTATCCTCACCTGAGAACATTTTTCCATTTTTGTTCAGATAGAGTGAGTGGGAGGGAAAGAGATAGAGAAACGTCGACATGAAAGGGACACATCGAGTGGCTATCGCAACTGAGGTACATGCCCTTGACTGAAAGGATCAAACCCACAATTCATTGATGTGCAGGCCAACACTCTAACCGCTGAGCAAAACTGGCCAGGGCTCAGTTAAACATTCTTAATAGAAGAAAATGTCAAAGGGAAAGGAAAATGAAGCCCTTAGAGAATGATATTTTGGTGCTAGCATTCACATCAAAGTAAGGGCTTTAGTCCCACAGTTCAAGGTGGACCTCCCATTACTAAACCAGGGGAGTACCAAGACTTGCCTCGGGCCCCTAACAGCATCTTCCTCTCAAGCAAATAGGTTGGAGGACCACAGTCAAGGATATTTTTGGTTTATTAACCTACTTTTCCTAGAAAGATGAGACTTGGGCTACAATTACCAGGGTTGTATTAAAGAGGCACCCTTTTCTGACAGCACTGTTAGAAAAAAGCTCTGGTTCACATGGTCTGGAACAGATAAGAATGTACTCTAATGGAAGCTTATAGTCTCGATTTTTACTATTTGATTTCCAAGGGTATCTGTTCAGATGTTACCCCACCTCCTCAGCTGGTCCTCTTGTCCTTAGTCAAGGTTTCAAGCCCATTCCATGTCTGACAGGAACACATGCAAAGGACTCTGCCCCTACTGCTGGCATTGTGAGAAAGCCCAAACCAAAAAGAGGGCAGCCAACACTGCCTGCCACCCCTAGCCCTGGGAGTTACGACTTTAAAGGGACAACGTGAACTCTTTTGTTTTTTGCTTAAATAAAAAAGAGGCATTGCTTGCACTCTATTTTAATGAAAAGCTAGCCATGTGAAATTCTGTTTCCCCACAAAGAATTTTTGTGTGTGCCCTCGAGAGCAGAGAATTTTTAGTGTGCACTCAGTATTTGTTGAAGGAAGCAATTTCCATATGACTGAAGTTCTAAAACTTTTGCCTCTTAAGATTTGTGTTTCCTCTTATTCCTACAGAATCAAAAGATGCCCTAAAATGATGAATGACTAGATGACAGACCTCTGACCTAGAAGTTGACAGTCTTTCCAGACAAAGGGTACTCAGCAGAGAATTTAGAGCTGGACAGCTAGGAAACACTAAGTTACCTGACATGTAGGGTAATAGAAATCTCATTTCAGATGCAACATTATTTTCATGGCCATTTACTACCACAGATAGCAAAGTTATCAGAGGTGGTTATAGAGGCACTCTCACACTGCCTATGGAATAGATAAGCCACAGGTCCAAATGGATACCTTTCCCCTGCAAAGGTAGAGGATTGGTCAGCTGGGCCCACAGACTCTAACAAATGTTTCAAAAAGCAATTTTCTGGATAACATGAAAGGGTGTCATTGTTAACTAAACACCCTAAACTGTTCTTGTGCTTCTCAGAATGCATATGTCTTTAACAGAAAAGATCCTCTCCTAATCATTATTTGAAGGTAATATTCACCATGTCCCTTCCTAAGATCTCACTTGATCCTCACCCATCTTGGGCAGAACCTTGTATAAATGAAGAGGCCAGTATCTTGTAGCTTAGATCTGGTGCAAACTGTTTGAAAGCTAAAAGTGGGCCTGGCTGGTGTGGCTCAGTGGTTGAGCATCAACCCATGCACCCAGAGGTCGCCAGTTTGATTCCCAGTCAGGGCACATGCCCAGGTTGTGGGCCAAATTCCCAGAGTGGGGCATGCAGGAGGCGGCCAATCAATGTTCTCTCTCATCAATGTTTCTCTCTCCCTTTCCCTTCATCTCTCTAAAATCAATAAAGAAAAAGAGAAAAAAAAAAGGCTAAGAGTAGACCATTATACCTACACCACAAGGAGTGCTGCAATGCAAAAAATTAGATTTCTATTCCAGAAAAACAGAATAAAATGATAAAATACTAGTTAATTTTTCAGGTAAGATAGCTATAGAGGTTATAAAGAAAAGATGAGAAGAAAAAGAGGCTGCTTAAACTGAGGAAATGAAAACCCATTAGAAAATTTGATTTTGGCTAACTAGAAAAGTCTTCAAAAATAAACTGAAGAAGATGAGGGGCGGGTATCAGTCAGTTCACAATTTAAGCTTGCTGTATACAATGGATACATTCCTGACAGGATATTATTAATTTATTGGGATACCATATCTGACAGAGAAAATAGAATCCATCATGAGAAGCCTATGTAAAATGCATTTTAAAAGTGAGTAATCAGCCCTGGCCAGTTTGGCTCAGTGGTTAGAGCGTCGGCCTGCAGTCCGGAGAGACCTGGGTTCGGTTCCCGCTAAGGGCACGTACTTCGGTTGCAGTTTGTCCCCGGCCCTGGTTGGTCGTGTGGGTGGCAGCCACTCGATGTGTCCCTTCACGTCGATGTTTCTCTCTCTCTCACTCCCTTCCTCTCTCTCCCTCCCACTCTATCTGTACAAAAAATGGAAAAATATCCTCGGGTGAGGATAAATAAATAAATAAATAAATAAAAGTGAGTAATCACACTGATTTTTCCCACTTTATAATTTGTTTTTTTAAGCCTCACAAATTTGTACAGATGATCAGAATGAAAGAGGCTAGGCTACATTTGAGGACGAGGCTAAGGCTCATTAAGCAAGTGATTGACCCTCTTAACAGTAAATCCTTGCCATAACTCTTAGTGGTTGATATTCTGTGATTTCCATTTTCAGCAAGGCTAGGGAAGAGAAGTGGCTTGTCCAAGGTTATAGATCAGAGATCATGTTTCCTCTGACTTGGTCAACTTTAGTGGTCACTACAGATTAGAGCTTAAAGCTTCACAGAGATGAGGCCCATCCAAAGTGTGCAGCCTGGCCTTAACCCTGAGCCATGGCAGGAGTCATCACACTTCTCTGCCCCCAGACACCATTCTCCCACAGCCAGCTCTCTCCATTAGCACTTCTGGTTGTTCAAGTACCTGGGTTTACCCTGTTAAGCTAAGGCAGGATCCACTGTTTTATTCACTATCCCCGCGACCAAGCAGCGTGAGTGAATCCTGCTGTGATTGGCTATTACATTGCTGCCCACTAAATGATGTCCTTTTCTCAGTATTTATGCCTGGAGATAAGTACTTAATGGTGGATACTAAGTAGGAAAGAGGAACAGAGAGAGGATAAAGAACAGATACATTAACTAAAAGGGTGAAATTACTACCAGAATTTCAGAGCAGGGCAGCACTGCAATAATTTTTTAAAAAAATAATTTGACCACTTTTTATTTAGTAGGATAGTGCCTTCAGATATGTTTTTATTGATTTTAGAGAGAGAGAAGGGAGAGGGAGATAGAATTATTGACATTTCATCCATCAGCTGCCTCCACACCCCCTTACTGGGGACTGAGCCCACAACTTGGGCATTTGCCCTGACCAGGAATTGAACCGGGAACCTCTTGGTGCAGGGGTTGATGCTCAACCACTGAGCCACACCAGCCTGGCAATAAAGAATTTCTTGAGGGGCTATGCTCAGCAATTGCTCAAGTCTAGTAGAAGATGAGCCTCAGGCTCCCTCCAAAAAAAGAAAATGTGGGCTTTACTCTGTAGTCAGGAGACCTAGAGAATCTACAGATCAACTGGCTGCCTGAACCAAACTGGAATTTTTTGTCAGTTTTAAAATAAGGTCAGATGTTCTTTTGTAGGCTGCCTCTTTCCATGAGCTCATGGATACCTAAGGCCTATGGTTTGATTCTCATTCTCATGTCTTTTTTTTCCTTCTTTATTGTTGACAGTATTACAGATGTCCCTCCTTTCCCCCCCCCCATTGACACCCTCCTCCCTGCCCCCCCCCCCCCCCCACTTCACAGCATTGTTATCTGTGTCCATTGGTTTATCTCTTCCCACCTCCCTCCCTCTGAGGTTTGTCAGTTTGTTCCCTACTTCTATGTCTCTGGATCTATTTTGTTCTTCAGCTTGTTTTGTTAAATATCTCTCTCATTTCTTTAAAACAGATAAGTGTGTGTAGCAGTGGAAAATAAGGACGATGTAAACTTCAGATAGAATAGGAAATAATGGGTTTGGTTTGCTTCAGTTGGGGGAAGGGGAGACCATAAAACCAGAATCACACTTAAAAAGGTACATTGTTGAGAAATCCAAAGTGTAAAATCCATTACCTGCCATTATTACATCAACATTAAAAACAAATGTATTTTAACAAAAAGTTTGATATTCAAAAACAAAATAAAGGCATGATTTATAAATACATAAATATCCATGCATACTTTTACAATGATAGCTACTGGAAGAATGAGACCTCCTAAAATGCCACTTTCATTCCAACTGTTTCTTTCCTACATGTTGGTAATACCAGGAGTCTTAAGAGAGCTTCTGTGGTCAAAGTCACATTCATCCCAGCCTCCTTTCTAGCCTGTAGCTGATAATGAAAATGTGATGAATCTTCTGCCTTAGCTTTGATGCTGTTGGGGCAGGGGAGAGAGAAAAGGTTATGTAGCCATGTAGTCCAGTGAATCAGATTCATAAATTAAAACACAGCACCGATGCAATATTTATGTACTATCCAGATAGTAAGTAGACTCAGAAATTATTAATATTTTACTACATACAAAAAAAATTCAGCAGAACTCTGACCATACCATCGATTTGGAAGCCAGAACCTAATTTTTTTTGTCTTCTATAATCTATAAATGTTCACAATTCAATGTAATAATGGAAATACTTAAAATATAACTTTTTTCCTGGCATGCTTTGCAATAAAAGATTCTAAAAGCAGAATCAAACAAACACTTATTGTTCTAAATAATCAGCTGAATCTAGGTAGTAATTCACATTTCACATTCAGGATATTTAGGAGATGTGAAGGTTATGTACCTCTGGATTTCACACTATTAGAAACTGTAAATAGTGGCAAAATGAAGCCGTTATTCTTTCTGGGTACTCTCTAGCACCTTTGGTACATTTAAACTTGGCTTTATACAACTTTTAAGCAGGGTGTGAAGAAATTATTTTGGCTGTCACCTTGTATTTGAATGGATTTCCTTAACATTCAGCAGTGTGAATGAATCAATCTGAGAGTCTTTTTAGTAATCAGAGTTTTCACGGTATGACCTATTTCCTAGCTAAGCCTATTGCTTCAGTCTTTTTGAGAAATGTAAAAGCAGCAAAATTCCTCAGCAAAACCAAAATATAAGAAGTCTTTCTCCTTTTAAGAGAATGCAAAATCACCTAAACAAACCACCTTCAGTCCAAGGTGAAGGAGATTATTCCCTAAACTGTCTCTCAGATTTCTGATAAGATAAACCAAACCTACAGCAGCATAACAGATGCCGCTGGTTTTGGCTGCTGCAAGTACGGTTATTACACAAGGTGTTGGCAGGTGACTCACTCACCCTGTACACCAGGCAACAGACTGGCCTGTAGGGTCAGACAGAGCTTTTCTGGCTTCTGGTGGATAAAGGGGAAAAGGCAGCTCCACTGATCATTTATATTGGTGATGCAAGATAAACCTGATTTAACTGATCTGACAGGCTGCAATTTTTAAAAAATACAAATATTTGCCCTGGCCGGTTTGGCTCAGCGGTTAGAGCGTCAGCCTGCGGTCCTGAGAGACCGGGGTTCAGTTCCCGCTAAGGGCATGTACCTCGGTTGCAGTTTGTCCCCGGCCCTGGTCGGTTGTGCGGGTGGCAGCCACTCGATGTGTTCCTTTCACATTGATGTTTCTCTCTCTCTCTGTTCCTCTCTCTCCCTCCCACTCTACCTGAACAAAAAATGAAAAAATGTCCTCGGGTGAGGATAAAAAAAAAACAAAATAAAAAATACAAATATTTGCCACCTTAGAATCATATCCTTCCACCAAGGGGAGTGACTGCTCCATTACCTTACAGCTTCCCAAGACTTGATATAATGTACAAAAAAGAACCTCTTGAAATGCAGATACACTCGTTTTTCTAACTTCTCTTTCACTTTCCATTCTGCCATTTTCCCTCTTGGATAAAAATGTTTTCAGGGGAAATGGACAAGTAATTAAGTCGACAAATTCTTTCCTTGAGCCAATAATGACAGCTTCCTCATCAATCACTCCTCTTTCTCAAGACAGTGCCTTGGAAATATTAAATCTGACAGTCATAGTAATGACACTCTTCCTGAGTATGCTTTGTTCATTTGTTAATTATTGCTCATTAATGGGTAAAGCTGGTCAACCACAAAGGCTGCTGGTAGGTGCCTAGAGATGGCTGTTAGATAAATGAGACTGTTCACTTAATATATTTGTGTTTGAATCTCCCTCTTGCAAAAGAAAAATCATAAATTGCAACTGTCTGACAAGTACCACCAGTAAGAGACCAATACTCATTTCTTTTGTCAGACAAAAAAAGTTGGACAGCCCTGGCCAGTTTGGCTCGGCAGTTAGAGTGTCAGCCCGCGACCAGAGAATCCCGGGTTCAGTTCCCACTAAGGGCACATGCCTCAGTTGGGGGTCATGTGGGTGGCAACCACTCAATGTCTCTCTCACATCCATGTTTTTCTCTCTCTCTCTTCCTCTCTCTCTCCCGCTCTATCTGAAGATAAATGCAAAAATGTCCTCAGGTGAGGATTAAAAAAAAAAAGTTAGACAGACTGCAGAGATGTACTTGTCTCAAAACTGCAGAATAGCCATACTTTAAAGATCTTAAAATTTTAAAATTCTTACTATAAAGATCTTATGTCTCTAAGTCATCTTCACTGTCCAATCCTGAGATATCAACAATGCCAGGCAATTCATTTCCACTTGCTAGCTAGCTTTAAAACCAACTAAACTCTAATTTTAGATGTAAGGATCAATTGTGGGCAGAACTACAACAGACATTTTCAGGTACATGGCTTAATGTCAAGGTTTTTTGTTTTTGTTTTTGTTTTGTCTCTGGGGTAGCAATGTCGCTTAAGGTTTGCCAGCCTCTATAACATGCAAAAACCTCAGGCAAGAGACAAAAGAACCTGTGCAAAGTCCCCATTGGCTCTTTCCAATGGGCTCTCAAGGTGGCCTTCAATGGAGAGGAGACTGCCTTTAACACCACACAAGTCTGTCATGCACACAAATCAGATGACTTGTTCTCAGGATGGGCTGATCTGGAAGAGTCTTAACAACTGGCTACTCTACATACCCTCTAACTACCTCACTTTCCAGGATCAACTGAGTTCCATTTTCAGTGGCATCAACAGTCTAAAATTAAACTTGGTTACTAAGAAAACATAACTTGTATTTGAAGGAAGTTGAACCACATGTAATCCAAAACTGCTATAGAAGTATAGGCTCCCTGCAGGCTTCCAGGTAGTGAGGTGCTAATGATTAGTCTGATGGCAAAGCTGGTTTCAAAGATGCCAGCCAGGTTCATGCCTGAGAACTATTTTCTAGAGGCCAACAGTATGCAATGACAGCATCAAAAATGTACATACCAGGGCAAGGCTCCCCACACTTTTGAAATTCAAGACTCCTTTACAATGTATAACAGTTTACAGAAACCCTTCCCTCCAACACACACACATACACTTCACACTGGTCTATGGGTAATGTCAGGGACATGCATATCAATTACAAAACCTCCTTAGTCTCTCCTGGGGGCTGCAGCCCAAATATCATGAAGTGATGATCTCTAACAGCCTGGAATGACTAGAAAGTAATAGCTACATACAAGAGAAAGAAGTATACTCTAACAGAAAATTGATGTGAAAGATCTTAGGGAGGGCAGAACACCTCTTAGGAGCAAAAACCAAGGAGAGAATTTGACACAAACAGTTAAGAAGTAAATGTTCACCCTATTCTCTGCCTGCCCCTGCCTCAGGTAGTGCACTCAGCCAGCAACTATCCAGCTGCCCCCCGTCAGCCCCAGGAAACTTCACCATTCTGGGACACTGAAGGATTTACCGCCCAGAGATTTTAAAGTACTACATGAGAGAATCCAGTCACAAATTCCGAATTCACATGGTTCCCAGGCTAAAAACAGTAGCCCCCTGTTAACAGCTGATTTTAAAAACAAAATAGCCCCTTGAACACCAACCTGAAGCTATTGATTCCAGGTTCAGATTAAAAAATAAAAAATACTTTTATAGGAAAACTATCTGAAATAAAGTGGTGTGTGCTGTTTGGGGCTGAAGTACTTTCTGGGCAGCTGAGGATTTGATTTAGTTCCTGGTTACCCACACAAAAGGGAACGTCTTCATATGTCCTGCCTTCCAAAACAAGCCCCAACCTGGGGTGAGGCAAGGGCTTACCTGCTTCTGAGGGCAGAACTGAAAAGGAGGCCAGCAGCCTTTTACTTTATTGCTTTGGTCGATTTGTAAGTATTTTCTGAGCACCTTCTCTGGGATATGCCTATACTAGGTTTTAGAGTTAGAAAGACTAAAACTTTAGGTAACACTTCAAGAAGCTTAGTCTCCTTTAGTGAGGCTTGGGGTAAAGTAACAAAGAAACTTTAGGAGACCCAGTCAAATGAGAAAAAGCAATGTCTCGGGGGGATTCTGAGAAGCAGGTGGGTTGCCCAGCCACATCACCTGAGCTTTCTGCCATACAGTCGTCTCTCGCCACTTCGCACTTCAAATTTCACGGCTTCACTCTATCACGGTTTTTAAAAATATATTCATTAAAAAGTTGATCGAGACAGTGAAAATGATACAGCGTGCGCTCGGTTGTCTGAGTCAATTATACACCCCTGTATTACATTTAAATTAAAATTACTGTACGTATGGACTGTAGGCCTATGTATTTGAGCACCCCTGGAATCCTTCAGCACCAGCTGCAACCACTAGAGTCTGGAACCGATTAACCGTGATAAACAAGGGACAACTGTACTCTCCATGGCCCCAGCCCCAGAATCCAGAAACAAGGCTCTATAGGTAACAGCTCACTATGTAAAAAGTCCATGGCCTCATATCAGATTAAGCTATGCAGAACAGAGAACATTATGACGTGTGGACTTTACTCCATCTACATTTCTATCAGTGAGTCAGAGAGGACAAAGATTGGTCACACCCTCACCTGTTGGGTTAAGGAGGAGTTAATGTTACATTACCAACAAGATTTTTTTTTTTTTAATAATCATCACCTGAGGCTATTTTTCCATCCATCTGCACAGTGGGAGGGAGGAAAGTGGAGGTAGAGGTTAAGAGAGAGAGAAACATCAACTGGTTGGCTCCCGTACAACTCCAACCAGGGCTGAGGACCAAACAACAAATGAGGTAAGTGCACTAGACCAGAATCAAACCCTTGACTCTGGTCCATGGCCAATGCTCTAACCGCTGAGCCAAACCAACCAGGGCAACCAACACGATTTTTTTAATAAGTGTGAAACTCGTAACACTCTAGCCAACATTTTCTTCTTTTTTTTTTTTGTCCTCACCCAAGGACATTTTTCCATTTTTTTTGTTCAGATAGAGTGGGAGGGAGAGAGAGAGAAACATCGATGTAAAAGGGACACATCGAGTGGTTACCACCCACACGACCCAACCAGGGCCGGGGACACTGCAACCGAACCCGGGTCTCTGTGGACCACAGGCTGACGCTCTAACCGCTGAGCCAAACTGGCCAGGGCTAGCCAACATTTTCTTTAAAAATCACACAAAGAACTCAAAATAATGTTCCTGGAGGAATTAAAACGCTGAGTTTGTGTTACTCCACCAACAATGCATGATTTATCATACTGAATTGTTATCTAGATATGAAAAGGTTTATACCAATTACAGAGAAATAAAAATGAAAGGGCTTAGTAAACAAGCATTCAGAAAACTATAATACATTACTATAAACACAGGAGCTATTAACTCTATACCATTTCAAATACACTTGGAAATCCTATTTACCTTTTTCATTAATTCACTTCTGGTAGTAAACTGTGGCAGGTCTTCTATTTCAATCCCATCAGCCATTTCCATCACCTTATCTAAAAGGTCTTTGTTGTAACTGCACAATAAAAAGCAGTAAGGTTAAAAACCTTGAGAAAATTACTTGTCACTTTGGGGCTAACAAAAAACTGCAGGTAAAGGGACTGTAAACTCAATTCTCAGAGGACTGATTTGATACTACAAGGGAAATCAATACATGTTCAGCAGCAGGTTAGTTAACAGTTCTTCCACTTGGGGATACAGAAAAGGCTCTAGGAATACAAACAGAGCAGGTATTTCAGATTTACAAAACAAACAAGCAAAAAAAGATTTACAAAAATAGAGGCTCTGTACATCTGGCAGTACATATTCATGGATATGGAATGAGGGCCAAAAACATTTTAGTTTTTGAACACATGGAATGTTCTAATGAAAATAACATTATTTATTCATTTATCCAATTTTATGACATTTGCCAAATCTTGGGTCCTGTTAACCAGGATTTCCCAGGGGCACCTAGAAGGCAGAGAAAAGGGATGGATGTGACTGGCACTACTTCCCCAAATCTTGTTCTAATAGCCCCCAACATCTGAAAGCAATATCAAGTAGCTGGGTGCTAGAGGGGCCATGTGACCAGTCAGCCAACCATAAGGAGGAGCACAGAAACCGGACTAAGCTGAGTCATTTTATCCTAATATAATTTCAGGAAAGCTAAAATAAAAGGAGGTGGGAGCCTCAAGATGTGTCACCTTCTTCATGGCTGGGGGAAGGGGATGCAAGGCATGTTATTTTCACAAGAGGAAAGGCAGTGATCAGTGTGGGGAGATAAAGCTAAGGGCCACAGATTACATCCTGCCAGAAGCTGCAAAATCCTAGGTATGTCACTCCCCTCTCTCAACTTCTTCATATGCAAATTGGGGATCTCTTTCCATCTCCGAATTTGCCTTGTGGGTGAAAGGAGCTAATGGGCTTGAAATGCACTCTGGAAAGGTGATAGTTTGAGCTAATACTAGCAATACAAATAACAATGGCAATTTTAGAGTCCAGCATGTACTGAGTTCTTGCTAGATGGCAGCCTGTACTAAGTGCTTTGCTCCCTTTAATACTGTAAGCATCTCAACTCATTTTCCAAATAACGAAACCGAGGCACAGAGAGATCATAAATATCTTTCCAAGGGGCTGGCTAAGGGTGGGAATCAGACGTAGCCGGGCCAGTGCGGTTGGAGGATGGGGGTGGGGTCAGCCCCGCGCGAGGGCTGCGGGTCGGAAGGCAAGGGACAGGGTCAGCCAGCCAGCAGGGGTCCGCACCTGCAGCCCAGGAAGAGGTGGTTGGCCCAGACCATGGAGAGGGACAGCAGCTGGTCCAGGCGGCCGCCGCCGTCAGGCGGGTCGCGGTAGTCGGGCAAGTGGCGCCGGATGAATTCCATGCGGGCCTTCCATTGCTTCTCGCTCTCCGAGTAGGAGCGGAACTGCTCGGCGAAGTCGGTTGCCTGACGTACCCCAGAAACCAGCTCCTCCACCGCTGCAGCGGCCTCGCCACCCACCATGGCGCCCTTCGCCGCCAAGAGCCAGACCCGCCCGCTGCCTTCCCGACACGCACTGCGCCACCTCCCGGGGCTAGAGGGGCCCGGGCGGCGCGCGACTGCTCCGGAGGACCGGCCTGGAGCGCCCTCGCCGGGCGCGGCGGCCTGACCGGCCCGGCCCCGCCCTCAGATCTCCGCAGCCCGCGGCTCCAGGGCGCAGGGGCGGTCCTCGGTGGACTCGGTGGGGAACCGGGAGGGAACCGGAGGCCCTGAAGCACAGAGACCCCGCGCCCCTTTCTCTCATTCGGCTGCCGGGTGCCAGCCGAGCTGCGCTGTGTCCTTGCCCCGAGGGCTCCCTGGGCACCCGGCCCGCAGACGAATTCCCTCAGTTTTGAGGACGGTTAGGTGTGGCTGCTCCGGTTCTGTCGGATTCCCAGAGGCCCACACTCCACCCAGGCTGTGTGTGGCCCGCCTTCCTTGAGCGAGTCATCCATCCAGTTAAACACCTGCCAGGCCCTTTGCCAGGTGCTGAGGATGCAGTGAGAGCAAACCCAGAGCCCTGGTTTAATGAACTTGACCATCTATTGAGGGAGGCAGACACTAGTGAAATACCTAACTGCTCAAGTGAAAATTTTCAACGTTGACACATTTTCATGAGGAAGAGGCCCAGAGTTCTAGGAGCATAAATAAGCAACGGCCTCGATTCAGACCTGGGGGTCAAGGAAGCGATGCTGGATTGCTGAGATGAACAGGAGTCAAGTACATAAGGAGGAGTAGGCCGTGGCAAGACAGAGCCTGGCCGGATAAGAGAACAGCAAGCGCTGTGTGACAGGGTCTGAGAGTGGGGGCAGCAGAGGAGGTGAGGCCCCAGAGATCAACAAGCACAGCAGGTCATGGCAGGGACTGTGGTCTACATCCTAAGAGGAATGGGGAGCCACTGAAGGATTTTAACCAGAACAGGGACACATGTTTCCAAAAGATGTTGGAAAGAGCCAGAATGGATGTGTCCAGAGATGAGCAGGTGAGCTGGCATGACTCTGCTGGCTGTTCTAGGGTCACACAGCAGACCCTCTGAGACAGAAGAGCTTCGCTATTTATGGTGAATTCCCCATCCCTGGAAGCATTCAAGTACATTTACTGGGAAATCACTTGCACCAACATCAGCCTTGAGAAATTACTGACCTAATAGACTTTCCCATCATCCCCCATAAGAATGTGGGGTGGGGTACAGAGCCAGCCCTAGATTCCAGGATCCAGGGCTGGTCCTATGTTGTGAGTGAGGCCATGGGGCAGATCTAACTACGGTGCTGTCTGCTGCTTCTGCAGCTTCTAATGGGACATTAGCCACCTTGCCCCCGCCCCACCCCCACACACAGGCAGAAACCCCATACAGAATGGAAATACCAAGCAGACTTATGAGTAGACTGTACCTGCAGACCCAATACCAGGCTCAGGGACATCTTATATGGTTAACAAAAGGGAGGCATGTTACTTTCACTATGGAGAGCAGGGAGAAGGTGGACAGGGCTGTGAAGCCAAAGACAGACTCAACTTCTCCATAGCAATCAGGAATAGGCGCCCAGAGCTGGGCCTCCCAAATTGAGTGCAGATCATATCTCCCGAGGGACTTGTTAAAACAGTAGATTCCCAGGCACATCACCAGACACTCAGAGTAAAGGCCCGAGGTAATTGATTCTACCTGGGACTGACCAAACTTTGAAAAACCTGTAATGTTGATAAGGGTTTAATGAACACAGTTCTTTGTCACCGGATTGTAAGGTGGAGAGGCTGGCCCAAAATAGGAACCTGGGCTCTGTGACCAGCAGCTGCAGCTAAACGGCTAACTCAGCCACTAGGGTGTGAGAAAGCTAAGGGGTCATCCAGCAACTAGCTTATTCAGCATCATTGTTGACAGTGATGGGATATACGCATACATGTACCTATATACTAACATACTCAGACATGCATGTAGGTTATAAGAACCCAAAGGTGCAAAAATAGGTATTCTTAGTTTAATAATATGAAATTATTGACATACTTTCAACATGCAAAGCAGAAAACATTTTAAAATGTGAAGTAGTTTAAAAATTCTGGTATTACTTTTACAGGACCCTGTGGCAAGTCCAATTACTGACCAGTTTGTTTCTCATTTGTTTCTATGATTCAGATTTTCTTAGAGTACTTACTTCCATAGACAAGAATCAGTTTTCCTACCTTATCTTTTTAAAACATCTTTATTGAGATACAATTAACAAACCATAAAACTCACTTGTTTAAAGTGTTTAATTAAATTGCTTTAGTGTATTCACAGATTTGTCCAACTATCAATACATTAAATAGAGATCATTTTCATCATCCCCCCCAAAAAACCCATATTCATTAACAATTGCTTTCTTTTCCCTCCAGCCCCTGGCAACAACTAATCTACTTTTTGTCTCTATGGATTTCCTATTGTGCACATTTAACATAACAGGAATCATACAATATGTGGTCTTTTGTAACTAGCTCTTTCACTTATATAATGTTTTCAAGGTTTACCCATGTTATAGGATGTGTCAGTACCTCATTTCTTTTTTGAAAATATGTTTTTATTGATTATTTAGAGAGAGAGAGATAGAAACTTTGATGTGAGAAAAATACATCCATCAGCTGCCTCCGGCATGCCCCCTACTGGGGATGGAGCCAGCAACCCCAGGGCATGTGCCCTAACTAGAAATTGAACCTGGACTTCTCAGTCCATGGGACAATGCTCAATCCACTGAGCCACACTAGCCAGGCCTCATTCCTTTTTTTAAAAAAAATTATTTGAGAGAGAGAGACAACAATTTGTTATTTCACTTATTATGCTTTCATTGTTTGATTCATATATATGCCTTGACCAGGGATCAAACCTACAAACTTGGTGTATTGAGATGATGCTCTAACCAACTGAGCTATCTGACCAGGGCCAATACTTCATTTCCTTTTATGGTTGAAAAACATTCCATAGTATGGATATACCTTGTTTTGTTTATCTGTTAATCATTTGCTGGCCATTTTGGTTGTTTCTACATTTTGGCTATTTTATTTATTTTTTATCCTCACCTGAGGACATTTTTGCATTTATCTTCAGATACAGCACTAGGGAGAGCGGGAGGAAAGAGAGAGAAACATCAATGTGAGAGAGACACATCAACTGGCTACCACCCACATGACCCCAACCAGGGCCAAGGACAAACTGCAACCGAGGTACGTGCCCTTAGCGGGAACCAAACCCGGGTCTCTCTGATCTACGGGCCGATGCTCTAACCACTGAGAAAAACTGGCCAGGGCCATTTTGGCCATTTAAATAATGCTGCTATGAATATTCACATACAAACTCCTGTGTGGACATATATTTTCAATGTTCTTGGATATATAGTGGATTGCTGGGTCTATTTTAACTTTCTGAGGAACTTACAGATTGTTTTCCATAGTGTCTACACCATTCTGCATTCCCACTGGTAATGCATGAAGGTTCCAGTTTCTCCATATCCTTGTTAACACATTACTTTCCCCTTTTTTTATTATAGCCATCTTCATGAGTACAAAATGGTATCTCATTGTGGTTTTGTTTTGTATTTCCCTAAGGACTAATTATGTTGAGCATCTTCCATATGCTTTTTGGCCATTTGTATATCTTCTTTGGAGAAATATTACTCAGGTCTCTTGCCCTTTTAAAAATAATTGACTTTATTTTTTAGAGCAATTTTAGTACAGCAAAATTGAGTGGAAAGTACAGTTTCCATGTTTACACACACACACATACACACGCATGTGTGTGTACACACACAGCCTCCCCACTATCAACTTCCCCCACCAGAGTGGTATGTTTTGTTACACATATCATTATCACCCGAAGTCCATAGTTTACATTGGAGTTCACTCTTGGTGTACATTCTATGGGTTTTGACAAATGTATAATGACATGTATTCACTGTTATAGTAACATACAGAATAGTTTCACTGCCCTAACAATCCTAAGTGGTTTTTGAAGAGCAAACATTTTTATTTTGATGAAATCCAATTTATTTTTTCTTTTATGAGTCATGAGTTTTGGTCCTATTTAACAAATCTTTGTCTAACACAATGACATAAAGATTGCCTGTTTTCTTCTGGAAGTTTATTATAATTTTAGGGTTTCCATTTAGCTCTATGATTCATTTCAAGTAAATTTTTGGATATGATGCCAGGTATGGGTTGTCAAGAGCAATAAAGGATTTAAGATTTTACCCTGCTTGCAAGTTAACAAGTTGCTCTGTCACAATTTCAATGGATGCTGACAAAAGACATAAGAATCCTAAGACAGACAAAGAACTTGATTACAGCACAGCAAGCGGTGTGAGCTTCATGTTTGCATTGGTTCCCCATGTCCCCCAAGTCTCACAGGGGGTATGCCAAAAGACCCAGGTAGATGAAGTCTAAATAGGTACACACGAAGGGTCTGTATCACAGCTCAGCAACTCCAAGCTTAAGGAACATCAATCTTTTATGAAAGACTGCAAGCAAACCTGCCCAACCTTTGCCCCAGAACAATACATTATCATTTTTATCTGGCCAGCAAACAAACTTGCCCTTTGCACTGGAGGTAGACACTATCTCCAGACTGTTTCATGGACAAACATCCTTGAAAAGGCAGTCTGGAACAAAAGGAGAGTTAGTGTGAAGACACTTGAGAGATCCATGGAGAATTGTTGGGATTCTCCCCACCCCCCTTTTTTTCTTTTTCTTTTTTGCATATGGTTGTCTAATTGATCTAGTGCAATTAGTCGAAAAGGCTATCCTTTTTCCATTTAATTACCTTGATACCTTTGTTGAAAATCAATTGAACATATATGTGTGAGTCTATTTCTGGACTCTATTCTGTTCCATTGATCTATGTGTCTATCCTTTTACTAATAACCATATTGTCTTGAATACTGTAACTCAGGAGTTAGCAAACTTTTTCTGTAAATAGTGGGCTACATATAATTCCTGTTGCATACGTGTCTTTGTTTCTTTTTTCAACCATTTAAAAATCTAAAATATTGTTTTTAGCTGGTAAG